AGCTCATCTCCTCAGTGCTTGCAAGCCTTCACATCTATTGATCGTCCGCTTTCAGGCTTCCGGAGAAGGAAATCCATTTCATTGAGCATTCGGAATTTCTTTTGGTCAGGCCCCGAACCCACCTATAAGATCCATACGATCAGCTGGTCCAATGTAGACCGGACCGAAGGATGAAGGTGGATTGGGTTTAAGAACTATTGAGGGCTGGAATAGGACTGCCATGTTAAAGCTTTTCTGGAGAATAGTTAATGATAATGGGTCCATTTGGACTCAATGGGTTCATTTTAGATATCTCAGGAGACATTCTATTTGGGTGGCTAATGCTATTATCAAGTTTCAGATTTGTAATGGCGAAAGCACGAAGCTGTGGCATTGCCTTAGTCTCAAATAGGGCTTAGAAATGGCCCGATCAGCTACAGGTACGAGGTCACTGTTCTAATGGAAACAGGTCTCCCGGACCATGCTCTAGTAAGCGATTTCATCCAAAATGGGTATTGGAACCTTCCTCCTAACCGCAGAATGGCTGGACAGTGTCTAATGCAAGAGATTGCCCTGTATGAACTCCCGCAGCTCCCTGTTGAAGACAGGTTGGTCTCTCAGCCCGGATGGAAATGGAAACTCCAAAACAGCCTGGAACCTCATTAGGCAGACCCATCCTAAGGTCGACTATGCAGGCATCGTTTGGAACAAATTCAATATCTCCAAGCACAGTATTATCGCCTGGATGGCCCTCAACTCTGGGCTTCTTACAGCAGATCGAGTTAGCAGATTTTATCCCAACATCGTGACTCTTTGTGGCCTGTGCATGCTTGAAGATGAAAGTGCCGAACATCTCTGTTTTCAGTGCAGCTATGCAGGGTGGATTTGGGCTCAGCTCTGTTCTAAATTTGGATATGATCAGCCTGCAACCAACCTTCATGATGTTTGCCGATGGATTAATGAAATCAAAACTAAGAATTCGGCCTTTACTGGCCTGATCCTAAAGCTCTCCTTTACAGCAGTCATATACTATGTTTGGCGTGAGATAAATTCCAGGCGCCATGAAGGGAATCCAAGCAGTAAGCAGAACGTCGTTTTGGAAAATTGTAAGGGAAGTCAAATTGAGACTGCATTCGGTTTCCTATCAGATGAAACTGAGAGTTATTTACTTTTTTTTTCACTCAGTTTTGGAGAGTGCATGGTCACCCTGCTCAGCCATCTATGGCTGAATGTTACTCTTCTTCGAACCCTCCGAAAAGAAAAGTGAACACAGACGGTTCAGTAGCAATAGAGGCTACTGCGGCTGCGATAGCAAGGGACTTTATCGGCCATCCTCTTTGGGCTTTCCGGAAGACGGTTGAGTGGAGAGAGATTTGGAAGGTGGAACTTTATGCAATCTGCCATACATACGGTGGAGATGGCTTCGCGAATGGGCATTCGGAACCTTTGGGTAGAGTCTGACTCATTATATGCAGTCAAGATGATTAACTCCCAATACAAGCCCCATTGGGAAGCGCGAAATATGCTGCTGAGCTTCACTGAAAATGCAAGAGCCTTACAGTCAGTCTTTTAGAGTCACCCATTGTTGGAGGGAGAGCAATAGAGCCGCCGACTTTATTGCGGGATGTCGAAAGCGAATATCCGAGTTGAGGGCAACCCCTAGTGATTAACTTGCCTTAGCCCACATCTATCTAATAAGAGTCCTTACCCCGCATTCATCAATATCAATAAAAGTCGCAGGCGTGAAGGTTTAGTATACTCACTTCTAGTTACCGCACAACGTCCTATCTTCATTCCCTTGGAACTATGTATTGCAGTTGGCAGATCACAGAAGGAAGTCAATAGCATACTAGAGTAGAGGGTAGGGGGGAAGGAACTGATTTAGCAATACAGCTAAACCACTAATTCTCTATAATAGGTGCCTATCTCTTTTCTTTTGTTACAGAATTCAAGAGAGAGTAAGGCATGAAAGATCAGAGAAAAAGGAATCAGTCTTAGAAGTTCATAGACGGTTAAATGCAGTCCTCGGAGAATAACTAGGAGAGAAAGAACTAGGAAGAAATAACTCTAGCAACAGGGAAAGAGAACTCCTAAGAGTAAGAGCAGCCCTTCGTGTAGGAAGGTGTAGGAGCGAAGCCACTCTTGCCCCTTCTTCCACTAGTCTTAGAGCGGAAAGAGTCACCGAGAAAAGGCATGAAGGGGCTTACTAATAATAAAGATAAGGCATGAATGAAGGAGGTTACTAAGGAATGAAGGAGCCTAGTCTATTTGAGGCGGGATGCCCAAGAATAGAAGTAGCCATATGCCGAAAATCGTCTTCTGTGATGTCAGGGAGAAATCGTCTGCTCACTTGCGACAAGAGGGCATTCTCTGCCATTGATTCTAGCACAACCGATTCGATGTCAAAGGACAAAGGAAAGGCGACAAAAGCTCTTATTCCAACAAGCCCAGAAAAGAAAGAGGAGAAATTGGCTTCATTCTTACCGATGATATTACCAGTTATTCCGACAACAGCTTATGATATCACCCTCGGGTCACTCCCTAAAGAGTGAAATCCATTCCTTTAGCATAGCAAGGCTACGTGGTCTTCTCTTCCCACAGCTGATTCTATACCAGTCTTCTATCCAACAGCGCTTACTCTTGAACCGGTTACTCTCGTTGCGGTTATTGCATCAAGCACGGGTTACGAAAGCAAGGGCGTTAAGGCTTTCCGGGCCTAAGGACTCTTTTCTCGGTGGTACTAGAATATGCATGTAAGGAGCGCATTCACGAGCACTAGCTTTCCTGGCTTGGGGGAGTATTGAAGTAAGCTATCCCACTAATGCAATTCGATGCTTCCTGCGTCGAAGGAAAGTATGGTCAATCAGTCGAAGACTCCCTCAAAGCCCCTTCTCGAGACACTCTTTCTTAGTCCCTTTGCCTTCTCCACTTTCAATGCTATCGTCCTGGTTTCATATGTCCAAGACACCTTTGAAAGCCTTACCTTCCCTTACTTATAGAAAAGGGTGGGGTTGAGATAACGATAGGTGAAGGTTTAGGGATAGTGATGGTGGCTGGTACGTGGTTCTGAGGGTTCTGTGGAGGCGTGGTAATGGGAATAGGTGTTGGGGTAGGTTGAAGAGGGATGGTAATGAGAGCTGGCTCAGGCTTACTTCTATGGGGTCTGCCTTTCATTGAATTGAATTTCAGTGAGGGTTGTAGGGTAAGGGAGGCTGACAACTATGGATGGCTAGGTCGGGATAGCCGCCGTCGGGAATGCTACATGTGGGGCCTTACCAGTGAATGGTGTTGAAACCTAGCCCTATATAGGAGTCAGACCCAACCACACTCTCTTAGTCTAAAGCGGAGCAGGACCGTTGGCCTGATCTGCCTCCCCACCTTTTCCGACCCCACCCAACCGCCCTAGCGTATGTTTCCGAATCAACTGCATCGTAAGCTGCTATAGCTCTTGCCTACTACCCTGGAAATGAAAAAGAAACTCTATCCTCAACCCCTTCAATTCTTTCAAGGAAATGGACTTGGTAATTGGCTTTTGGACTAGTTGGAAAACAGGCTTCCAGGATTCCTTCTCTTCTTATGTGTTCTAACTTCCTCCCTCGCCCACTGCTGCTTTCATAGATGTTGTGCGAAGGGACAGAGCTAATGGATGCCTATTCCGTTCTCCTGCGGAAGCTCCTGCTCCAGCAGCTAAAAAGAGTTCAAACGGACAGAAGAGAGTACGAAGGAGAAAAAAGGCAGCAAGAATCGGCTACTTCATACTAAAACCGCAGGCTTTTCAAACAAATACTGAAAAAGATCTCAGAGAGTCCTGAAAGGGAAGTCGTGCAGAAGAAGCGAAAGAACAATCCTGGGAAGTTGAAGGAGGTCTCTACAGGAGGTGAGACGAGAGTCTCTCAGTCAAAGACAGCATACAGCCGTTGGAGAGTCGACGAGGAGGTTAAACCGGCTTCCTCTCCTTTCGCTTATTGAGTAGGGCCTCCTTCAACAGAAACTGAGTCTTATTAGGGCCAACTCGACTGCCTAACCAGTAGGGAATTTGCATAGTGTTGGCAGCAACAGGTTTCCAGAGGTAATCCAGGGGCTGCGCTTTCTTCATATGAAGACGCCTGATTAGTCAACAAGTGAACTTTACAGCCTCGGAAATCTTCTTCTTGCTCTAAAGCAGATGCGCCAGACTTAGAAGACTCCCGGATCGCTTCCTCAAAAGTAGGTAACCGAGTCCTTTCTTGAAGGGATATAAAGGGGGACTCACTCATAGGTTATTCGGAGTCCGGATTTCTCGGATTTCGAGCTAGCTCCCAATCATGCCTTCCCAGATAAAGATTCATTCAGTCTTTTTCTAGTCTGGAAGAAAAAGATTTATCCACAAATTATATCACTAATTATTTACCCGCCATTTTTTAGAGTGGAAACAGAGATAATTCGTGTTGGACCAGAGCTCAGAAGAACCTGATGGCAAGCCAAAGACCTTTTAGTTCTTGTAAACAACCGTTGAAGGTACCAGAAAGCCCTAACCAACCTATGGAGTTCTTGTGTAGACCATGGAGCCCTTCTGCATCCGATTTCCTCGATATATTTTCATCAAGTGTGAGTAACTGTCATTATACTTCATTGCTGTTTGCATTACTGCATTAATCGTTAATATCGTAATTATGTCGACTGCACATGGTTGTCACCACTAACATCAGATAGTAATTGTGCCTAAGTAGCAGCATGCTATAAACCAATCCCATGTAGTTGGGATTAAACTTTTTGTCGAATTTTGTTTTTAGGTACGTGGGATTATCGAAGTCATTCAAGCACCCAAGTTTGCCTTCTCTAATGATCGTTTAACTCTTGTTTTTATCATAGAACTTCTTGTTGCCCCCAAGTGCCAACGACAGGACAGTGGAGGATGAAGAAAAACAGTTGGGTGAAATACTGCAGAAGGAGCACACAGAGGAACAAGTAGATGAAATGCTGAAGAACACTTCACAAAGGAATAAAGCAATAGCCAGCAAGGGAAACAACAACAGAGTAATCTCCTCCCTCTTTCCACTCATTCTGCTTAACATCCCGACCCCCCCCCACCATCTCTATTCTTCTACCAGAAAGCACATACACTCGATCATGCAGTTGTTCAGATTCAGCATCAGTCTAAGGTGGTTGGTGTAAGTTCTATTGATTAACCATTTAACATTGGCTTCATTAAACTTTAATCAAAGCATAAAAAGGTTAGTCTCTGTAAGCTTGATTCCTGGACAAAGATCTAATTATCGTATAGTACCAAAATCATTGCTAGTTCTCTTCCTTGTCGCCTCATTTTCTCTGCACCAAAATAGTATAAAAACATCGCCCTTCAAATATGTGTATTACTCATGCTAGTTTTGCATCAAGCAAGCAATTACAGTAGTTTCCTTCATTTTTAATGTTTAATTTTAACTCACTTTGCTTTCTCAGATGGATTTCAAACACATGGTGGGATGGGTAAAAGGCAAACCATTAACTAGCTTCATA